GGGCGCCCAATGGGCCAGATATGCAGACAATCACCAAACTTTTAGATCGATCAGTGATGTGAACCATCTGTGTGTGCCGATGCCCCAGATTTGCTGCCAATCTGAATTTGTTGTCATCAGCCTCAAATCTGTGCTGTTCACAAGCAAGAGCAGGGAATGGCCCGATGGGACCATTGCAGAGTTCAGGGAGTCCTATGGTATCATAGATTTAGAAATATACATTCCAGTATCGTCTGATGCCTATAAAGTTATAAACATCCAGATTCCACACCCCTGACTCTGGACCATCTGAGTAGCAGTCCAGATGTCCAGATGGCAGTGGAAGTAACATGCAGAAATCATCACATCAGATATAAAAACGCAAACACATCAAAGAAAAAGGGGGGCAGCGCAGATGAAAGTAGCGAAGTATATCCTGCATATTATGTGCATACTACCATCCAGCAACAACAAGTCAGGGCATAGCATTCACATGACAGAGGTTGGCTAGCATGTGCGTGACTGGGTCACATTCTCCGAATGCAGTTGAGTGTTATGGGTGGGAGAGGAGCATGGGAGATGATAGAGAAACCAACGGGACAATCATCGAGGGCAAGGAGAATAGAAAGAAAGGACTTCGCGATCTGGATGGATCGCAGACAGACAAAGAGGAACCAAAAAGACTCCCCGAAGCGCAACTCATCTGATTTTCAAAAAACTACAGGGCCCGAACCGTGCGACTCGTCGGGAAGAAAACAACAGAGGGCTTTGCGCAATCGTTGCAATGATATTAGAATACGATGAAAGAAAAGAAGATGCGAATGCAGCATGACAACGAGGTTGGTAAAAAGAAACTGACGAACTGTCTAGAAGGCTTGTATTAGCACAAACTACGTCAACCAAAACTATGAAGGAAAAATGGAGAACAACAAGGTGAAACAGCACACTCACTGGATGAAGCTTCACACGCCCGTCCTCTCTTGTGTGTAATAATGTTTGCCTGCCCTTTTTCTGCACAACAAAAACATTGTAAAGACCCGTGGGATCAGCTCAGCTTTTCAGACAATTCAACTCCGTCTCATTGTGTTCTTTGCTAATAGCAAACCAAGGAGGCACATGAGGAAAGCAGGAGACAATAGGTATGGATGTTAATGTGTATGTTAATGGGGAACCTTTTGCGCACAACAAAAAACTGGCGGACTTCTTGAGGCCTTACCTGCAGCAAGCCATCAACCACTCTTACTCAAAGAGAAGCTGATGCAGAGGGCATGTCCATAGGCCTTAAATCAAACAACTGAAGGCTAAGCTTCCTGCCTGTCCGCCTATCAACACCCCCCCCTGCACCCCATTACCCCCAGTTACCGTTACAGGGTTTTCCCCACTTTTCCCTGTATCCGGCTTTTTTTTTTTTTTTTTTTTTTTTTTTCCGTGGCCCATTAGAGCGCGGATCAGATAGTAAACTGATCAGAACAGATACTACACTTGCTCTTAGCCAAAACGCCATGGATTGCATCAAGAAAACTGAATACAATACCCTGTATTCAGTTTTTTTGATGCAATCCATGTATAGCATTGTATACTATTGTATTTATTTTTTATATTTTTCCTTTTGTTTTTAAACAACTGCCCGTATGGGAGATAGGGGCGCTGGTATCTTAGAGTTTTGGTCTTCAACAAGTAATGGGCCGAAAGGTTGACATTGACACACAACTTGACAGCCTTACAGCCATGCTGCAGAATTACTAAGAACCGCCAGTTTTTTGTTGTGTGCAAAAGGTTCCCATTAACATACACATTAACATACATACCTGGATAAAGAAGAATTACTACTACCGCAAAAGCAGTCTGTTTGGCTTTAATACGGCCAGCGAAACCATTCCAGGACTTTGAGCTGTCTGCATCAGCTGCTCTATCCTACCGTCTTCACCCGAACGGAACCGCCGGTCACTACAGCTCCATCTAGACTGAAAGTTGTCCCGAATACAGCCATAATCACCGAACGTTCTATACGGGTGAAGACGTGAAAAACATACAAGAGTAGTGAGGGAGAGAGGTTATTACCACCCTTCCTTTTTCAATGCTGGAGGCTAAACAAGATAGACTGAACTGGGGACGGTTGGGTGGCAGTTTTGGAGGTCAGTTGGTTTGGAATCCATACTGGGCAATGCAATCTCTTTAACCATGCCAGGACTCTGAGCTTTCTGTACCAGCTGCTCTACACTCGTTGTTGGCTTTGTGAAAAGGATCTCACGCTAGCGACTAAGGAAGGCTATTACCAGCCAGCCTTCTTAAGTCACTGCCAGAGTATTTTGTGCCGATGGTAGGGAGTACTAGGCACCCCTCGATTGATTGGCAGCCTGCCAGCTGACTGATCCACCCGTCGGCACCTACCAGTCCGCTCTTGGTAAGCACCCCCGCAAAAAAAAAAAAAAAACAAAGAAAGGAAGCCGATACCAGCATAACTCCCGGAGAACACAAAGACAGGAGGAAACCGAGACCAGCATAACTCCCGGATATTCAAANCCCCCCACCCCCCACCATTAACAAACCGCCTGCCGAACGGCCCTACCGGTAGGCTGCAGAGCAGTCGGCTGTTGGCGTCTGCTGTCGGCTGCAAAACTATCCTGCTGCTGGAGATAAACGAGAGAGAGCAAACAGCACAGGTTGGGAGGTTCATTTGGAAGTCTGTTGCTTTGCAAGCCATACTATTTTCTTCAACTTGCAAAAGTTGCAAGACAAAAAAAATTGAAAACAAGAAAGGTCAGAGTTCAAACAATAATGTCCTTCGGGACATCTGGTAAAATTGGAACAATACAGAGAATGAAGATTAGCTAGCGTGGCCTGTACGCAAGGATGACCCACATAAATCGAGAAATGGCCCCCTCCTCCCCCCCCCCCCCCCCCCCCCCCCCCAAAAAAAAAAAGAGTCCAGACTCCAAAGTTCAAACTTCAAACAATAGGATAGGCAATTAAAATTTAAAACACACTTGACAGGAAGGACAGCAAATGGTCCCTCCCCCCCCCCCCCCCCCCCCCCAAAAAAAAAAAAGGAGTTCAAAGCTGAGTGAGGACGCCGCCCGGCCGGTTGGGCCACATCGATCAGAAGTGGAACGGTTCTTTTGAAGCAGAGAAGGCTAGCATGGCGCCTGCACAAGTACGACACATATGAGTCAAGCATGGCTCATCAAAATACGCAGAAAAGAAAAATAAGGGATTACAACAGTACCAGCGGCCATATCTGGCGAGAGTTCTTTGAGCATAAACTGCCATAAAGTCACTACCTGGCCACAGGAGGGTGACGGTTGCACGGTAAATTAATCACAAATTCACATTTCATTTCTCAAGCACAAGTACTTGTCTTGTTAGAATAGAAGGACATCACCAAAATGGGGATGAGAGGCTAAGCTGGGAGAATGCAGGTTGCTGAGTAAAAGCATGGAAAACTGATTACCACCTAGGAGTATTGACTCTGGAAATGAAAGAACAAAGTTTCGCAGTCAGACCTACAAGAGATTGTTTTAACTAACCTCCACGCGGACAACATTAGGGTACATGCCGGCGCAGATCACTGCCCTTATCAACTCCATATCATTTCCATAGCGGTTGTATGACTGCAAAAGACAAGCAGGGGACCACATCAGTTATTTCAAGTTTGAACCATGCATCCTTAACACCACCTTACTTTTTCTTCCCCCTTGCCTGCTGCACTCAAACCCAACCCCTCTCTGCCCACTCCCTCTGCTCTCGCCCCCCTTCTCTATGCTTCCTACCCCCTCCAACTCTGTATCATTTCCATAGGTTGTATGACTGCAAAAGACAAGCAGGGGACGACACTAGTTATTTAAAGTTGGAACCATGGATCCTTAACACCACCTTACTTTTTCTTCCCCCTCGCCTGCTGCACTCAAACCCACCCCCTCTCTGCCCACTCCCTCTGCTCTCGCCCCCCTTCTCTATATGCTTCCTCCCCCGTCCCCCCCCCCTTCTCCACACTCCCAACCACCAAAACACACATCACCACGACGATCCCTTAACACCTTGCTTCCTCCTTCCTACCCCCTAAACTCCTGCCCTGCATCACCAACCAGGATTCACATCAATGCATTCCATTTTTTATAAATGGATCGTCCAACTTCTTCTGGGCGCAACATACATCCAAAGTGCCATGAACCATGTTGTCAAAGAAGATACATCGAGAGATCCTCTTGCAGCCGAAGTTTCGGCTTGCCAAGCAAATAGTATGATTGAGCCTTGCCCAGCGAATAGTACGATTGAGCTTTCCGCACACACACTGCGCCTCCATGCCAGTCATTTACACCATCTCCCAAGCACAACACGCAACCTCTTGGTTGTGCCTCACACCCTTCTAGACCCTCACAACAGAAACAAAACGTCAATGTGCTTTCATGACTGAACTGGACCCTAAAGCTAGCATGTATGCATTCAAAATTTTCACCATTTTTCCTAGACTGCATTTTTAATACATAAACCGTGACTGCGCCCTAGTTTTCCCTATATTTTATCATTTTGCATATCTGTAGGATTCTGTATGCTGTTTTTCACTGTGCTCAGTGTGCTCCCTGTTTTCGTACTCATAGCCGTCACATCACAGGTTTCACATTTCCACCCTACAAAAGACTGCAACCTTGTCATTGGGATGCTAAGGGCATACTCACAATAGCACTTTTAACTTATTTCTGGACGGAATTGTGGCCAGATGCATACAGGTCCGGCCGTAAATGCGGTCAGATACATTTTTCATAGTGCTAGTGTGAGTACGCCCTTATCATACTCATAGTCATCACATCACAGGTTTCACATTTCCACCCTACAAAAGACTGCAACCTTGTCATTGGGATGCTAAGGGCATACTCACAGTAGCACTTTTTAACTTATTTTTCTGCACTGAATTGCGGCCAGATGCATACAGGTCTGGCCGTAAATGCGGTCAGATACATTTTTCATAGTGCTAGTGTGAGTACGCCCTAAATAAAGTCTCAAGAGCCAAGACTGAAGCAGAATTCATTTACTGCCCATCCTTCGACAAAACATTCACACAAATTGACTGCAAAGAAGTTGCTCATCCTTTTTAATAGTTTTTAATTAACTTTTTGTTTACTTCTTTCTTTCCCACGACAAGTAGCACGCTCAATGAAGGAGTAGGCTTTACTTTCTTGACCTTCCATTTCTGAAGGCAGAAAAAGGTTAACGGAAACAATAGTGGAGCAGTGGTATGTCGTCCCAACTGGGTAGCAATCAATGCCGCGGTCTCAGGATCTCTCCAATGTCGACCGTCGTGGGGAGATGCGTTGAGCCAATACATCTGTGACGCCTGACCCGGTTTCCAGCATTCTTCATAAAAAACTCCCGCTTCATGCAACAACAACAAAAAAAGCAGGCTAACCCTGGCCATTATTGTATCCATGAAAAAGATTCGAACTCATGATCTGTATATCAATAGCTACATGTGTATAGTACACTGTGTACAATTCCGTCACCAAAAAGCTGGGCTTCGAAGTTGCTTGTTTGTCTTCCACAAAGAAGCAAACCAGTCAGAAATTCTCAAAATACTTTTTCAAGTTTTGAGCTACCGCACTGGGAAAGCAGATAAGAAAATTCGGAGGAACTGAAGTTGAGTCCTGGGCCGGGGAGGAAGAGCTCACCGCTACACCGGCGGACTTGTCCATGAAACCAAACTGCGAAAGGAGATCCACAAACTGCTGCCGCATATCTTCCATCATCTACACCAGGAGATCGATATGCACATGATCTGCAACAGCTTAGGGCTCTGAAGATTTCATCATTAGGCCTTTCGGTAATGTATCATCAAATTTGTGGGGTATAATATAAATTTAATTAAATTAAACATTAGTTCCAACTTCGAAGCAAAGTTCAATGAATGCAGGATTTTAAAGTTTCTCAGATGAACATGGCACTGAGCGATTCGCCACTTTCAGGATCCAGGTGGTACTGGAAACCTTTTTTTTTTTTTTATAAATACTTTCTAATTTGGACTATTTCTTGATTTATGCGTGACATCCTTGTGCAGGGGCCATGCTAATCTTCTTTCTCTGTATCGTTCCAATTTGAACGGATGTCCTGAAGGACAAGTGGTACTGGAAACCTGCACAATCGCTTCTACACAAGTAACACAACTTTCAGCAGTTTTTTAATTGTTTATCAGACTTTATCTTGTGCAACTGCTCTGTTCGAGTTCTTTATATTTTCAGGGCATACTCATACTAGCACTTTCCTAAATGTATCAGAGAGAAATTGCGGCCAGACCTCGATGAATCTGACTGTAATCACGTACAGAGTGTATTAAAAGTATGCCCTCAATTTCCCGCAAGTATCAAATATATACCAGGCATTCAGGGAAAGATTTTTCTGAATTCTAAGATTTAATGAATTATTATGAGATAAATGCAATAGAGAAGGGTGGATCTCATCGTATTGGACATTCCTCACTGCATCCTTAGGGGATTTGATAGCCACCAAGCTGCAGCCCATCAGCTGCCCATGTCTTTTCCTTCTATTTTTGATCATTTCAGTTCAATCAGTTGCAAAGAACCCTTTCTTGTAGCATTCTTCTCTCTCTCTCTCTCTCTCTCTCTCTCTCTCTCTCGCTCAGGTTCCGTCTATGGACTTGTCAGCTCTGGCTGCCTATTCACATCAAGAACCACAAGGTGGCATCCTTTCTTTCCGTCCTACTTCCGTCCATGAGTTTGTCTAAACATCCTGTCGCATTCTTATCCACTGATGTGGCAATCCTTCTTGCCGTCACGACCTTGCTGGGCTCTGTGACCTCTCTGTCTGGGAGCTCCGCCTACACAGTGGAATTTCTGAATTACGCCAGCCCTTGAATCGCAGCCCCATGTCCTTAATCTACGCCCCCTGATCCTTGGCTAACCACACCCTTCTCAAAGATGTCAGGTGTATCTGTCTTGTATTTGGGTAGCTCTGCACTGCCTCCTTGACCCCTCGCCATTTGCAAATAATCTCTGCTTCCATCATGCTCTTTGTTGCGCCCCAGACTTTATCGAGTGCGTTCTTGGTATTGTTCAGAGTCCTGCTGCATCTTTTTTTCCAGATCGGCCGCAGTGTTGCTTAGCAGATCAGTGCAAACCACTGTTTTTCTGGCTTGCTGAACTGGGACAGGATGCTAGTCCATAGGAGGAGCTGGAGCGGGTGCTCAGGGACTGGGGAGGAGGGAGGAGAAAAGGCTGTCCCACAGGTCAGACGGCTCTCTTGCCCATAGTTCTGAGCACCCCCTCCAGTTTTTGCGCATTTTTAGCCCTTCCGGGGGGTCGATCACTGTTGCTTCTGAAAAAAAAAAAAAAAAAAAGGCTTCTTGTTCTTGGTCCGAGCAGGCTATATACATCTGTCCGAAGCTGTTAGGGTCCCTATTCCTCCTCCTGATATGTAGCCAGTGATTGACCCTCCGGAAGGGCTAAAAATGCGAATGAGCCATTGGAAACTTCTATCTGTTTAATATCTGATGATCCGTGGTCCATCATAAAA